TCTCCCAGCTGTCCCCGGAGCTTGCGGGGCAGGCAGCGGGGAGAAGCGCTCTTCTCCCCACCGCCCGCCTTCAGACCAGGTCCGGGGACAGCGGGAAGACGCGCTGCGTCTCCCAGCTGTCCCCGGAGCTTGCGGGGCAGGCAGTGGGGAGAAGCGCTCTTCTCCCCACCGCCCGCCTTCAGACCAGGTCCGGGGACAGCGGGAAGACACGCTGCCTCTCCCAGCTGTCCCCGGAGCTTGCGGGGCTGGCGGCGGGGTCTCCCCGCCGTCAGCCTCCAAACCACTTCGGGAGAAAGCGGGATGGCGGCGTTCCGCCTCCCTCTGTCCCCCGACCTTGTGGGGCTGGCGCTGGGGCTCTCCTGAAGCCTGGAGAGCGAGAGGGTCGGTGCGCACCGACCCCTCTCGCTCTCCAGGCTTCAGTGAAAGCCTGCATTCGCCCCATAGGACGCACGCACATTTCCCCTTCATTTTTGGAGGGGAAAAAGTGCGTCCTATGGAGCGAAAAATACGGTAACATGAATTTTACTATCTAACAAGACCATTGATCCATAAAATGAAAGCAATAATCAATGTACTGTACTATAAAATGAATAAGATAGTATTGTAGATGATAAGAATTAAAAAAAAAAAATTCTTACCTGCACTGATGATAGTCATTGTTTGTATGGGGGGCTTTTATCCATTTCCACAGCCACACAATCAATCAATCAATCAATCAGTAGCTGAACTGGGTTCCACACAGTCACAAAAACAAATTAACCAAAAAAGCCTCAAGAACAAAAATGCAAAATAAACCGCAAAAAAAGGCGCCAAACTTAATCCATTCCGGAAGTCCGTTTGACTTCCAAAATGTTCAAAAACCAAGGCACAGCTTCTCATTGATGCAGGCGATCTGGAATAGCTGACAGCCACATCGGACGTTCAGCTTCCGAAAAAAGTTCAAAAACTGGAACACTTCCTTCCGGGTTTTCGGTGTTTGAGAACTGAGGTATCACTGTATCTACTTTAGGCTATGTCCTGCCTAATGTTGACTCTGCCTCCAACAGACGACCCCACACATGACATGCAGATGGTCCCAGGTTCAATTCCTGACATCTCCACTTTGTAAAAGGATTGGGTAACAGGTCATGGCTGTGTTTCATTGCGCCAGAAGCTGTTTAGTCCTGCTGGCCACATGACCCGGAAAGCTGTCTGTGGACAAACGCCGGCTCCCTCGGCCCGAAAGTAAGATGAGCGTCGCAACCCCATAGTTGCCTTTGACTGGACTTAACTGTCCAGGGGTCCTTTACCTTTCTTTACTTTAAAGGGTAAGAACTCTGTTTAACACCCTGAAAAGCTACTGCTGGTCAGAGTAGACAATACTAGACTAGAAGACAGACAGACAGACAGACAGACAGACTTGGTATAAAGTGACTTCCTGCATCAGGTCAGACATCTGCACCCCATGCTTGAATCTTTCTTGTTCATGATTTATCAACTATCGAAGAATTGCAGATGAAGATGATGGACTATATGGAACTTGCTGAACTGACTGGGAGACTCCGAGACCAGAGAGAAGAGATGGTGGAAGAAGATTGGAAGAAGTTTAAGGAATATTTGAAAAAATATGTTAATATTTAAATCTTAGAATAGCTTTGGAAGTGGATATAGGCGGTAGGGTTAGAAGGAGAAGATAGTGTATTTTATAAGTGATAAAATGTGAAGTTTTTAATGGTTAAAGTAAGTGTGGGGGGGGAAGATGGTTAGAAATTATGATATATGTAAACTACTAAAGATGAAGTAAAATGAAAATCAGATAGGTGGGACTTGGGGAAGCCCACTTAACAATGTTTAGAAAAATAGGGATATGACAAGAATTTGTTTGTATTGTTTGTCTTTTCTGTTTGTGTTTTTTATTTGTGTTAGAAAATGAATAAAAGAATGGGGGGGATGAATCTTCCTTGTTCATGGATTGTCTCTTAAATGGAAGAACTACAGAAAATGCACTTTAAACTTAGATCTGGTTCTCATTTAGTTGAAATCTCTTGGTGGGAAATCTGATAAAACAGGGATTTTCATAGCCAACCTCCATTAAATGATAAAGGTATTGGAATTTGTCCACACTAGGGGTGACATGTTGCCCAGCAAAATGTGTGCCCTTCATGCACATGCAGGAAATGACATAAGCCACTGGGCGGAGCCAAGAAGGGGGCCTCCAGGCTTCAAGTCGGAAACACAGCCAATGTTGATTCAAGCCAGGATTTCCTAAAAGGCCATTTCCTAGAATAAACATTAGGCAGAGGTTTTGCATGTTCAAGAATACATGCACACGGTGTGTTTTAATTTGGAACAGCACGGCATAAGGATAAAAAGATTTCGTGCCATTTTCCTTATGGCCCCATTTAACACAAAATATATCTGTAGGGTTTTCCGTTTTCGTTTTATTTAGCCATGCAAAAGTTTGAAACTGGGATTAGTTCACTATATGAGGGCAAATACCACACATAGTTATGTTGAAAGGATTAAAATTCCTCAGCCAGTGAGTTGTGCCTGTTTTTAGCTTTTTAAGATTAGATTAAAAAAAAGAGAAAGAAGGGGGGGAGACCTGTGGAACTAGCCACAATGAACTTATTTTCACATAAGCACGTGAGGGGGGAAATGGTGGTTAGATTAATTTCAGTACACTGGTACCTCGGGTTACATACGCTTCAGGTTACATACGCTTCAGGTTACAGACTCCGCTAACTCAGAAATAGTGCTTCAGGTTAAGAATGTTGCTTCAGGATGAGAACAGAAATTGTGCTCCGGTGGCGCGGGGGCAGCGGGAGGCCCCATTAGCTAAAGTGGTGCTTCCGGTTAAGAACAGTTTCAGGTTAAGTACGGACCTCCGGAACGAATTAAGTACTTAACCCGAGGTACCACTGTACAGTGGAAGCAACTGTTGACAACACTGGGGAAATATTCCAAGGCTACTGTAAATTATGATGCTTGCATTGGATGAATGGAATGGTAAACGTGGTTGCAGAGGACTCCATTCCTCCTGTGGCAAGGCAATGCTTCTGGCTACCTTGCAACAAGGAAACTTTGGGACTGAGTTAGGGGAAAGGTCTCCCGTACGCCTACCAGACACAACACTACACTGATTTTTAGAGCAGGCTTTAGTAGCTATATGTAATCCTTTTCACAACTTGGAGCAGGGCTGGCAGAGTATCATGTGGGTAGGACTGGGACAGCCCTGTTTTTATGGCGTCAGGCTTTTTAAAAATCTACAACGCACCGGAACTGGGTCCAGGCATTTGCCCAACCATGCTGCATGGTGGCACCATGGCTAACCCAGAGCTATAACTAACATCACAAGGGCCCATTAACAGCATTTCTGGGACGCAGCAGGTGCTGGAATGGGAATTCTCCATGCCAGGCAGCGAAATGACACCATGGCTATTCATAGGAACACAAGAAACTGTTACAAGGGACAAAAGCAGACCGTTGTTCATATAACTCAGTATTGTCTACAGTGACTGGAAGATAGGATGTCTTTTCCAGCCCCAAGTGGAGATTGAACCTGAATTTTTTGGCATGCAAAGCATGTTCTCAACCAATGAGCTATGGCCTCTTCCCACACTTTTACAATTAATATAGTGCAAATCTTCATTATTTAGGGTGCTGATTATATCTATATCTATATTTATATCTATATCTATATCATCTATATCCTTTTTGCTATAGTATTAAAAAGGTAAAGGTAAACCTAACCATTAGGTCCAGTCGTGGCCGACTCTGGGGTTGTGGCGCTCATCTTGCTTTATTGGCCGAGGGAGCCGGCATACAGCTTCTGGATCATGTGGCCAGCATGACTAAGCCGCTTCTGGTGAAACCAGAGCAGCACACGGAAATGCTGTTTACCTTCCCGCCGGAGCGGTACCTATTTATCTACTTGCACTTTGATGTGCTTTCAAACTGTTAGGTTGGCAGGAGCAGGGACCGAGCAATGGGAGCTCACCCTGTCATGGGGATTCAAACCACTGACCTTCTGATCAGCAAGTCCTAGGCTCTGTGGTTTAACCCACAGCGCCACCCGCATCAAGGTCTTGCCAATTCCATTTTTTGTTATTCTTTTAAACAACTTCATTTGCTTCATCATCTGTTGGTTCAAATTCCATTTGTTTCATGACATTCATTTTCATTATCATTTTTCGTCTCTTTTTATGTCTTCTTTTCATGGCAACAGCAGCACAGCTGATTTTGATGGCTGCTTCCTAGAGGCTGCTGTTTAAAATCCCCAGAATACCTTGGATGTTGCTTTCTCATAAACAATCTGAGGGAAATGGTAGCCACTATGAAATATAACAGCCTTAGTGGCATTAGCTATCACACACAAAGAGAGGGGGAGAGAGAGAGAGAGAGAGAGAGAGAGAGAGAGAATATGTCCTGGAATGATGTAACTTTCATTCTGGGAGGTGGACTCTAAGAGAACCTCCTACCATGAAAGGTAGGAATTTTGTAATGAAAATGGCAATATGGTAACTTTGATTTAGGTCTGTACTTGTTATGTATCAACAGTCTCAATTATTTTGCTATAATACTGAATTCATCCCATGTTTCTTGAATTGTTTGAGTGGGGAGGAATTCAATATAGCACTAAGTATGTAGCGTCATAGGGGCAAGTACTTCTCCTTGCCTGATGGAATGATCTGCCCATTCCCCCACCTGCACATTGTTTTATTTGGGGGGGGGGAGTTCTCCTGATCCCTCTCCCCCAGCTAATTTAGGGGACTGCAGTGGGAGAAGAAGCAGAAAAGCTCCACTGCATTAGTGGAAGTCCTTATGTGGGCTTCTATTGGTGGGACTAGTTAGCTGAATTCAGTCTGTTTTTATCCATATGTTCTGTAACGAATTGTGTTTTTCATATGTTGTGTTATTAACCTAGTTCAACCCATCACTTAGAAAAATAGACTTGTACAGCTGGAAGGAAAACCTGATGATCATCTAGTTCAAGCCCCTGCAATGCAAAAACATGCAGCTGTTCCATCCCGGGACTGAACCTACAACCTTGGCATTATCAGCACCATGCTCTAACCAACTGAGCTATCCATCTCTTGTCTTGCCTCTTGATTGCCAGGGTCCACTTTCAAAAGTCCAAACTCAGCTCTGTTCCATTGAAATCAGTGGCACTTAAAAGATCATAGCTGGCTAGATCAAAGCCTAGATTTTTAATTTAGTGAGCAGCACAAAGAAAAATGCAGGGTACAAAGAAAAAAAGCCCAAACTTGTATCATGATTTTGTTTTAACAAGGGTGAATAAAAATAAAAATATCCTTGACTATGAAAGTAGTATTTATATAGTAGTAGTACTACTACTACTACTACTAATAATAATAATAATAGAAGAAGAAGAAAAGTATTATACACTGCAGCAGCAGGTGAAAAATAATGATTTTGACAGCTGAAGTCTATCATTATCTAAGGAATCACTTAAAATAATTAGGTAAAAGTGAAAAAGTAGAATAATGAAGATAGAAAACTTTCAGACACTTTGAATTTTGACCCTCTTTGTCTGGTTTTCAAGTGGATTTAACCTTCGTATTCAGAAAGAATATCATTTTGGCACCTTCCTGAGAACACAATGACAGGTAATGCTATCTACTTACTGCACAATTTCGTATCTATTATAGAAGATGTTGATTTCTTCAGCCACCGCTCTCCTTCCATACTTCAATCACAAAGGAATTAGGGAAGCTTCTTCTGTCAAAGAGCCAGATAAAATGACAGGCCATCTTAATTTTGAAATCTCAGAAATGTGATACAGTTGTCATGCTTCTTTGATGATTGCAACTTGTTTCTTCAAGCAACTTTTTGCAATTATAAATGAGCCCATGAAAATGAATTTGAAGAACTCAACAAAATTATGGAACTCTTACCAAAAGGGGAGTAAATCCTTTAAAGAATCTCCAATTCTCAGCAATATGAAAATCAAATTCTTATACATGATGTCCTACTTTCAAATGATGATATCACTTTTAAAACTGCATATGTTTCATAGATATTTAATGTCAAACTTTCAGAAGACAGAGAAGACTGACAGTTATTGCTTACAATATAGAATGCATAGCTTAAAACCTAAAAGGCACAGGCCAAATAATAAACTGTGTACTTTAGGATTATCTCTCATTACATAGAAACACCAACCATATGTGTTCATAAATGAAGACCATATTTGATCAAAGTCTTTTCTTCTAATTTTGATTTTCTAGGTCACCCTGCATCTCTCAAGCAGGGTTATTAACCCATCTTTAAAACATAATTTCTCTGTCAGTTTGAAGGTAACACAAACAGAAGGGTAGACTAGGAAAAGGAGGCAGAATCACAAGCTGTGTTTAGTAAGCAAACATGGAAAAATTGGGTGGATTTTTGGGTTTCTAGGCCAGAAGGACAATCAGCCTGAGTTCCATTTAAGGGATCTAATTGAACCCACATTTTTTTAAAAATCAAAAGATGTCTCTTCAAGGAGTCTAAAAATAAGAGATTCCTTAAATGTAAAGCTTGTGGTTGTATTTACAAATACTTTCTTCAGACATGTCTAATACTGACACAATAGACTTCAGATCAATATGGAAGCAGGATATAACACAGCCACTTTGAGTACTTCAGGTTTGATCCTGGAATGTCCTGCTTTTCCTTGGGACATCCGTATTTTCATCAGAGAAAGGTTGGAGGGTGTGTGAATGTTCAATAAATAGGTCATCTGGGGAAGCAACCAGAATACCAGCACTGCCTATGGACCCTTTCTTAACTGGGAGGCTAGCAAGGCTAACACAAACCTTCTTAAACTCTTGCTCTTACACAATAACTTTTCTCTGCCAAGGGCCCACAATCCAGTTGACTTCCTCCTTCTCTTCACCTTGGCATACTTCTTGCTTGTTCGCCGACCTTTCGCTCTGGCCCAGACCATGGTGGCTGTGAGAAAAAGGAAGAGGAGCTGCCACTGCCTGCTGTTTCATTAGCTGTCTGCCGAGAAAGCAAACCAGAACGCTGTTGTGGTACCGTGTGTGGTCCAATACCTCACTGGTGAAAATCAACGCAAAAGGAAGCAGGAAATGTGGATTTGAGGCTTGCCCTAGGGCAGGGATTCGGAATCTAGGGCAAGGATTAGGCTCGCAGAGCTAATTAGGTCTTCCACACACACACACACACACACACACACACACACACACCTATTTGGCCCTTGAGGCCATTTTAGGCCAAGCCCAACTTTCCTATACTCCACATAACTTCCAAGTCTTCCTATTTTCCAAAGGTAGCCCCAGATTTACAGAAACCATCCCAGTTTCTGATTTGATCCCAGAATGCTTTTCATTAGAACATCCCTATTTTCATCGGAGACATGTTGCATACCCTCCAATATTTCCCCGATGAAAATAGGCACATCCCATTCCATAATGATAATTTTACTATTTATGCCCCACACATCTTACTGGGTTGCCACTCTGGGCAGCTTCCAACATATATAAGAACACAATAAAACATTAAACATTTAAACAGAAAACAAAAAACAAAAAAAACCTTCCCTATACAGGGAAGCTGAGGCTCCAATACTTCGGCCACCTCATGAGAAGATAAGACTCCCTGGAAAAGCCCCTGATGTTGGGAAAGATTGAGGGCATAAGAAGAAGGGGACGACAGAGGACAAGATGGTTAGACAGCGTTCTTGAAGCCACAAACATGAGTCTGACCAAACTGCGGGAGGCAGTGGAAGATAGGAGTGCCTGGCGTGCTCTGGTCCATGGGGTCACGAAGAGTCGGACACGACTAAACGACTAAACAACATACAGGATTGCCTTCAGACAGCTCGAGGGTCGAATAACTCCATACCCTCCAACATTTCTCCAATGAAAATAGGGACATCCTAAGGAAAAGTGGGACATTCCGGGATCAAATGAGAAACTGGGATGGCTTCTCTAAATCAGAGATGTCCCTAGAAAATAGGGACACTTGGAGGGTCTGAGGTTGATGGAGGCATATCTATTTTCATTGGAGAAACATTAGAGGCTGTCAGGGATTGGCTGGATGAGGAGGAATGGTGGAAGCCCCCAGGGAAAGCCCAGAAGGAGAGGATTTGGATCCTGGCCCCTGGTGGTTGGAAACCAGACACATCCCAGAGGACAGGAAGAGCTGTCCCAAGTTTCACTGGAGAAATGTTGGAGAGTATGATATGATGTCAGGTGTGGGTCAGGTAAAGATGCAGCTGAGCCAACAAGGGGTTACAGGTACTGCCAGTCAGTTGATTGGTGGCACCTGCAAAGCCCTGTGCACAGTGCTGTGCAAGTGTCACCAATCAGCTGTTTGCTGAGGCTTGCATGGCTTAGTCCCTGGCACTGTGCAAGCCCCAATGGTCTGCTGATTGTAGGGACTTCCATAGTTCCATGACAAAACAAGCTCAAACAGTCCACTGGTTGTCAGGGCGTGGCGCTTTGCACTTGGAGCTATGCAAGCCCTGAAGACCAGAACCTGGAGAAACAAGGTAAACCTTCCTAATCTGGGTAAAGCTTCCTATATGCACCAAATTAAGTTTAGATGGGAAAGAGAGAGGCAACTGATAGGGCTTCTGCTCCAGTAACTTAAAATTAGTCTATGTAGGCCAATTCTCCTTTTCCTTCTAAGGAGTTCAATTTTTAGATATCATAGGAAAGTATTTTCTTGATAATCCCCCTTCCTGCTAGGTCAATGAGATACATTATTTAATGTAATTTCTGGAACAGAACTGGGTTTCACAACTATTAATGTGATGCTGAACTCAAATGCACACTCCGGCCACTTGATACTATTTCACCGACAATTCTCTCCTCATGTCTTCCAGTAATTAAAAAAGAAAAAGAAAAATAGTAAACAAGAACACACAAAAGTATAAATATTCTCACCAGGGAATTACTGCTTTGATAATGCTGTTTTCTCAGTTCAAACATCAGCTCGTGACTAGAAGGTAGAAGCTTCCTGTTGACATCTGGTAGACCACTATGAGAACAGGATGTTGGACTAGATGGGCTTGAATCTGATCCAGAAGTCCTATTTTTATGTTCTGGAGGAAATGGCTGACATAAGTCAATAGTCTAAACCTGTTGGTTTCCAAAGGCATTTCATTGTTTGGAAAAAAATAATGAGCAGTTAATTTCAATCTACTTCCTCAGACAGCAGTGGGGGACCATTTCTGGCCTGAGAGCCAGATCTTTATCTACCTCCACCCTAGATGGGCCAAAGTTGACAGGTTGGTGGGGCCATCCATCTGCCAATCACCTGACACCATAGTATTAATGGGGAGGGGATTGAAGACTTTCTCTCCTTCTTTTAAGGTGTCCGGGGCTTCTTAAAGACTAACAAATTATATGAATACCATGACTTCAGAATGGAGTGTGACTAGATTGTCAATAATGAATTTATAAGCTCCTGGGTGGCCTTTCTGCAAGTCACAGTAGATAAAGATGAGCATGAGGAAAGATACTTGTGCACCTACTGTTCTGTTAGGCAAAGTAGGGAGTCAAAGTTCCCCTACAATCAAAATTGTGCATATGTGTCTACAACAACATTTCTCCTTTGGGTTGCTGTTCAAACCACCAATCGATACTCCTGCAAGAGATTAACACTGCTTAATTTTCACATATATAAGTGACAGTGAGATAAATAACAAGAGTGCTCTTTGAATACATTTTGAAACTAAGGATGCTTAGAGATAAAGCTATGAGAAAAGGAGTTGTTGGTGTTTTAGAGGCTGGGATTGTTCATCAGCTGCAAACATTTTCAGTCCCTCAAAATAGCAGAATCTTGTTGCCCACATTAGTGCACAGCAGGCTATCTCAGATCTTTAAAATACAGACAATATCTCAGAAGAAACATACTTTGATCCAAAATTGTATGGGACTGCATAAGATCATAGGAAGCTCCCTTATACCAAATCAGACCATTGGTCCATCTAGTTTAATGTTGTCCACACTGACTGGCAGCAACTCTCTGGCTGCTCAGACTAGAGTCTCTCCCAGCTTGAGCTGGGAAATACTGATGATTGAACCTGAGACCTTCTGCATGCAAAGCAGATACTCTTC